TTTTGTTCTGTTTAATTTTTTTTTTTTTTTTTTTTTTTTTTTTTTTTTTTTTTTTTTTTTTTTTATTCAGGCGATGCGCTTTTCGCCCTCGGCTGTGTTTTACCCGCTTCGGCACCCCGCTGAATCCAGCCGCGCTTCGCGCAGTTGCCGCTTCACCTCACTGCGCGGGCATAAGCGCCACAGAAAACTTTCAAAAATCCAAAAGCGCCTTCGAGGTTAAGCGTTTTGCAATCATGTTTGAGAACGCTTTCGTCTGCGGGAGTCGTTGGCGTTGGGTTGTGCGCGCCGCTGCCAGTCGGTGCAGTGCAGAGGCTTTGTGGGGTTTTCTCTGCAGGTTCCTTCTCCTGCAGTAACTGCTTACTGGTTTCATTTTCATGTTTTTAAAGCTGAAAACCAGGGATATTATAGTTTTTAGGATATATCAGTTTGCAAAGGATGCTGATCTTTTTCTGTTTCACAGCAAGCCAGGTACCTGTCTTTAATCTCTTTATTTTTTTCCCCCCATAGAATGGTTTAGGTTGGAAAGGACGTTAAAGGCCATCCAGTCCCCCCGCCCTGGGCAGGGACACCTCCCCCCAACCCAGGTTGCTCCAAGCCTCGTCCAACCTGGCCTTGACCACCTCCAGGGATGGGGCAGCCACAGCTTCTCGGGGCAACCTGCGCCAGTGCCTCACCACCCTCAGAGTGGAAAATTTCTTCCTAATATCTCATCTAAATCTCCCCTCTTCCAGTTTGAAGCCATTCCCTTGTCCTATTACTACATGCCCTTGTAAAAAGTCCTTCTCCAGCTTTTTTGTAGGCCCCCTTCAGACACTGGAAGGCTGCTCTAAGGTTTCCCCGGCGCCTCTTCTCCAGGCTGAACAACCCTAACTCTCTTAGCCTGTCCTCACAGCAGAGGTGCTCCAGCCCTCTGATCACTTTTGTGGCCTCCTTTGGACCTGCTGCAACAGGTTCATGTGCCCTTCTTATTCTGGGGACCCCAGAGCTGGATGCAGTACTCCAGGTGGGGTCTCACTGGAGTGGAGCAGAGGGGCAGAATCACCTCACTCCACCCTTTTTTTTTTTTTTTTTTTTTTTTTTCCTCCTAAAAATACAGTCAGATGACAATGAATAAGATTATTATGTTTTGAAGGAGTTTAGTGATGTATTTGACTTTGCCCAAAACGGAATGCTTTTTTGGAAGTCTTGCCCACATTGGGCTTCTGCATGAGGGGTGTTGGTAGATCTTGATGTCTGAAGGCCCTGGTCTGTTACTCTGCGATGGCTTCTGAGGCTCACCTGGGAGGCAGCGTGGATCGTGGCATGGATGTGTTTCATCCCCTCTTGTTTTTTGTAGAGCTGGAGAAGGAACGAAACCGAGGCATTGGGAAACCACTGCTAGGAGGGCCCTTCTCACTCGTCAACCATGAGGGACAGCCCAAGACCAACAAGGACTACATTGGCCAGTGGGTGCTGATCTACTTTGGCTTCACACACTGCCCTGACATCTGTCCTGATGAACTGGAGAAAATGATTGAAGTGGTAGACGAAATTGGTATGGGAATTAAGTTGGTGTAGTCGTTGTTTTTATGGGAGGCCTAGGTTTACTGGGGTAAAACACTGAAAATCATAATAAGTGATGATCTTTAAAAAAAAAAAAAAATGCTGTTGACTACTATTCAGTAGTTGACTAACTAAGTGATTGCTAAGTGATACACACATCAATCTGACTATCACTAGGTTCTGATATTTAGAGCATGACAGCACTGATTTTTCCGCAACAGGGAACTTCTTAGTTATAAAATGTGACGGTGACACGTTACAGGGAACAGTGCCATTGCATTGTATTTTTGCCAAGAAGTGGTTGTGGGGTGTATTAGGGATTTTTTCCCCTCTATTTTATTCTTTCTGAGAACAAATCTCTGTGAGAGTCTCTTCTGAGAGTGACTGTGCTGTGGAATGGAGGCTGGGGGAAGGATGTGTGAGAGAGGTGGGTTTCTCAGCCTGCAGGCCCTGCAGAGTTACGGACTGGGGCTAATAGTAACTGAGCAGGGAGGAGCTACAGTGAAAATCATCTAGCGAAGACTGTGTCTGGAACATGAGGGAAAGAACCTGAATTGTGTCTTTACCTATCTTTCTGCTCTAGCATCACAGGCGTGCTTTCGTTGTATTGACCAGTGTGCTTTGGTACGCGTGTCATGCCCTGGCATTTTCTGCATCGGAGCCAATTTGTCACCTCTCCTAGGCAGGGCACGGTCTCTAGCTGAGAGGCTGGAAGTGTAGCTGCACGCAGCAGAAGCACAGAGTGTTTGATTTTGTGGCATTTGCTTCACTCACAAATTACATAAATTAAGCTTCACAAATGGCTTTTTTTGTCACTTCGGATGGGCTGGGATTGATGTTACGTTAGCTTGGCTGTGAGCTTGTTTGAAAGGAGGTGAGAAATGACTTGTTTTTCTAAGAAAAATAATAATTGTTAATGTCACAGATCAAATTCCATCTTTGCCTAATCTGACCCCGCTTTTCATCACCATTGATCCTGAGAGGGACAACAAAGAAGCCATTGCCAGATATGTTAAAGGTATTACATTTTCTTCCTCAATGTCTTACAGCATGTAATACGGAGCACTGAAAAGGAGGCTCTTGATGGGATTCTTTTCACTAAAATGTCTAAATGTCGTCTTCCTATCTAGAATTTTCTCCGAAGCTGATTGGATTGACTGGTACCAAGGCACAGATTGACCAAGTGGCCAAAGCTTACCGTGTGTATTACAGCGAAGGTCCCAAAGATGAAGACAGTGATTACATAGTAAGTAAATGTAGGGCCTTTGCCTAATGAAAGGCTTTGGGTAAGAGCAGAATATAGATTTTTAAAATCAGAAGGCAGCTGTTTCAATCTGTGCTGAAGTCCTACATGGCAGAGCCTTGTTGCACCTATGCCTTAAGCTATATTTTAGATGTCTTACTCAGACTCAAGGTGCCCTCCTGGAAGCTCAGAACCTCACTGAAACACATTCTAAAAATGTACAGTCCCAGGCCTGCATACAGAATAGCATATGAGCTAGCAAACCTGGCAGGAATTTGAACTTTCTTCTGTTGTGTAATATTTTTGTCTGTTTTCCTGTGTGCTCCAAAATGAAAATGCAACTGGGAAATTAAGGCAATAGGAAGAGGGAGAAATGAGGGGTGAAAGTGAGCAACAACTTGTTCCCTGCCAAATTGCCACCAAGGAGCAGAGTTTTCCTGGCAAGAGTCTTGGATGATGCAAAGTCTGTGTGCAGATACTGCAGGGATCTTCCTCCCTTGTCAAATGACCTGGAAGAGAGAGCACATTAATGCTAAATTAAGTGGGAATAAAATAGGTAGAGTGATAGTGTGAAGGGGGAAACTGAGGTTTAAATGAAGCTAAACTGGGTAGTCAAAATCTTCCTCTCTGGAAGTGAGTAGAACTGGCTATAGGGCTCAGAGCTGCTGCCAAGGCCTTCCTCACTTGCCCCACCCTGAGCAGACTGGAAAAGTAAAGTACGTACGAGTAAGGATACACATTATGTGATCTTTATTTTTTTGTTGTTGTTGTTACAAGAACTAACGGCATCAGAGAAAACTGAAAACAGGTTCCAAAAGAAAGGTGAAGGTTCTTGTTGAAATGGGCATGAGAGAAGTGGAATCCCTCACTACAGATGAAAGGGGTAGAAGTTTATGTGAGTCCATGGGGAGAATTGTTGTTAGTCTTTGGGATAAAGAATCTGCTGATGACTATGAAATACACAGAAATCTTGCCTAGCTCAGGAAGCCTGTGAGCTAAAAATGTTTGGAAACTGGGAGGTAATAGAGGAAGAGAGTATATTTTTGGTGCTGGTTTTATAACCATCTTTAAAGCAACTATTATTGGCCACTATTATCAGAGGGCTGGAGCACCTCTCCTATGAGGACAGGCTGAGAGAGTTGGGGTTGTTCAGCGTGGAGAAAAGAAGGCTTCAGGGAGATGTTATGTGGCCTTCCAGTCCCTAAAGGGGCTACAGGAGATCTGGGGAGGGACTTTTTACGAGGTCATGGAGT